TTGGACGGGGGGAAATTGGGTCTGATTTGGGGTTCCATTTTAGGCTACAATTGAAATGAAATTGGGCTATCATTTGAATAGCCATTTTTTCCCTTTTAAAATTATAAAAAATAGTAAAGTAATTTCTGGAACCAAATTAAATGCACTAAAATGACCTATAGCATATAATTATTAATTTAAAAATATTGGACTTAATTTTAAGAATATAAAACACAATTAAATCTAAAAGGGGCTAATATTGCAATTATATGTAATTTAGCTTAAAATTACTAAATAAAATTTGTAAAAAAAAAACAAAAATTACCTTAGCTATATCTTAGCATAAATATAAAGGTCCGACAAATGAATTACCAAAAAATAATAATTTTTCGAAATAATCATTGGGTTTTTATGGATAAAAGATGAAAATAAATTGATTTAAAACCTTAAAAATTATGGAAAAAATAATAAAACATTTGAATATGCTTAAATATGCATATATATATTCCTTTTTGAAGTTATTTTGTATACTGAAAATATATATAGGGAAAAATTGGGTGTCAACAGCAGGTCCATATTTGGGACCAGCGAGAGGACTTGATTCCGCCACCACCTTCACAGATCGAGGAGGCGACTATTGAGCTCTATACGTCATGGTATCGCCGTCACACCCGACTGATGATCGGGAACCACGTTCATGTACCTGGCGGTCGGTTCAGACCATACGCTGGGAAGCACGAGGCACTGGTATATTTTTGTGGGATAAGTCTTATAATTGTGATATAGTATTATTTAATTAATATCTTAAATGTTGTGCATGCTATTGGGCATCGCATGTTCTACCAGTTGGGACAGGAGATGCAGCAGCATGCCGACAATGCTGCTGTTTTTGAGTTTGGCTGGCGGGTGGAAGAGCTGGCTCTCCGGACCCTGCAGCGAGACAGAGAGGGCGCGAAATACCTGAACGCTGTTTGACAACGTGTTGCTTCAAGTGGTTCAAAAAAAACGTCCACGTCTCTTCGCTTTCGTTGGCACAAATGGCAAAAGCTACTGGAACTATTTGTCCGTTGGCATTTACTGCAACTGCAATCAAAAGCTTAATATCATACTTTCCATAGACATGAGTACCGTCTATGGAAATTACAGGACGACAATGCACAAAACCATCAATTGCTAGTTTAAATGACCAGAACACATAGTTGAAAATATATCCGGGTCTGTCCGGGCTCCGCTCACGCCTTCATTCAACAACAGTCCCGGGGTTAAAGTGTTGCAGTGCGGCCATGTACCTGGGCAGAGATGAAAAAGACTTATCCCAGTCACCATAAATAAGTTCAAAGGCACGTTTGCGACCGAGATATGCCTTTCTTTTAGTTATAGTACAACCATACTCCTGGTGGACGACTGTAATACACTCTTTAATCTTGAACCTAATGGACACTTCCAAATATGGAATCAAGACAAGAGAAATCAAGTCTACATCCAGGTTGAAGTGATTCTCATTGAATGTGTCCATTTCACATCTGTGGGTGCTAATATATTTACCCACTTTCCACACCCTGATTTCTTCTTGCTGGCACGCAACATCTAGTGACAACCCATAAAGTCTCTACAGCATACAACCTTGTACACCTCCGTAGTTGACTCCCTTACCGTCATCTCACGGCACTCTCTTACGCTGTAGATTTTTACAGCCCTGATTAGGCGAGCTTTATCGGGGAAATACATGCCCTTTGCCAGCACCGCTGGTCTAGACTCATCCCACATTGCTGACCGAATTTCGTCATCATCCCTTGTGAGGGCATCCACGTCCGGCATACTTGGCAAATTATCAAGGTAGGGAATATTCCGCTCATGAAACGGCACGTGGGACTCGTACACTCTTGGTCTAACAGGAGGTGGAGGAGCATGCTCCCTCGTCAGCTCAGGTTCGGCATCAACTTCCTCCTCGTCATCACCCTCATCAGGGAAGGGTGTGTCATCTCCAGACTCATCAACGTTGTTGTCATAATCACTATCATTTTTCTGACTCTGCGCCTCTGCCAAATCACGAGTCAATACGTCGTCTATGGGCAACTATGTGAAGTCAGGAACATCAAGTTGCTCGTTTTCACTAGACAAAAAGAACAAAATGATAAGCTACTCAACTAGATAAATACCAACCATATCAGCTATATCACTTTACTTACAAGCCGTACTGTGTTGACGTTCCATGATGGATATTTTCTTATTGGTGATGACTCCCGGATGGACCACCGTGGTCCAACACGCCAAAACTGCGCATATTCCAACTAGGAGCGGGATCATAACTTGTAAAATTCATATCGGACGATACCCCCTATGAAAAATATGAGTGTTAATACAAATCCAATTCAAACATAAAATAAATTTCAATTTAGGGTAGAAGAATTAAAGTTTACCAGTCGTCTTGTGGATTATATAAAGTCGAAAAATTATTTTGTGGTTGCTCATTCGCCGGTGGTGACAAGTTTAAATCAAGGCAAGCTCTTTCATCAGCAATTTGTCCGGCAAAAACTGTTCCAGAATAACCACCCGATGACTGGGGGTTATCCCTACTATGCACACTCTCATTATTGGGAACGTCTTCAACCTTGACGTACATTTCCAATAATTTTATTACAATAAATTCCCTGTATTCATTCGGAATTCGCAAAAAATCTCTAAGAGTTTCATCATCTTCGATGTTAAACTCAGAATAATAAGCAAACCCCTGCGGAGTCACAGAATACGGAAATCTACAGGTTACTTTAAGGTTCACCGAACGTTTCCTCACACTCATTTTCTTACATAACAACGACACCAATTTATCGTACTCCATTGTAAGCGGCAATTTAACACGACACTGTGGAGGTGAGCTATATCTCACAGAGTTATTCTCCATTACAACCTCACCCCACCAATATAATGGAACCCTTATTTTTGGCTCTTCAGACATTATAAACAAATGCTTGATAAGATGAAGAGAAGTATGAACGGATGTTTGAAGGAAAGTTTGAATGGATTTTCATAAAATTCTAACGCCTTTAAATAAGGAAAGTCCAAGCTTCATTTTTTTTTATGTAAAACGAAGTATAATAAGACGTTTTATGTATTTCAATTATTGTTATGTCAGTTATCCGCAGAACACTTATTGGTGGGCCCAAATTTTAGTGTAAAACGTATTATTATACAACGTTTTCTGTAAAACGTAGTATTATACTACGTTTTACACTAAAAAACAAATTATTTATGTCAGTCCTGCAGAACACTTATTTGGTGGGCCCAATTTTTAAGTAAAACGTAGTATAATACTACGTTTTACTTTAACGGCTAACTTTCCGTTAAAGTAAAACACAGTATAATACTGCATTTTATGTAGAAATGTAACTTTTTTTTAACTGTAAAAACGTATTTTATGCCCAAAAAGGCAGCATTTCAGTTTCGGCCTCGTATTAGGTGACCTTTGCTTGTACTTTTCTTTATTTGATAACTTTAAGGGGTTGCAGGCTCTAGATTCTAGGCTTTTGGACTGTCATTGAACTTTTCATCTAGTTTATCTAATAGCCCGTTTGGCCAAGCTTCTAAAATCAGTTTATTTTGAGAAGTGATTTTCTCAAAAGTACTTTTAAAAAAAGTGCTTTTGGTGAGAAGTAGTTTGTGTTTGGCTAATTAATTAGAAAAGCACTTTTGTGCAGTAATTAGTGTTTGGCCAAGCTTTTGAAAACTGCTTCTAAGATTTTTCTCAAAAGTGCTTCTCAGAAAAGTGCTTTTGGAGAGAAGCTACTTTTTTCTGCTTCTCCTCAAAAGCACTTTTTTTCCTTCCAAAAGCTTGGCCAAACACCTCAAATTTTGGCCAAAAGTGCTTTTGGCAAAAAAAAAGCACTTTTGGCCCAAAAAAAAGCTTGGCCAAACAGGCTATAAGGCTTGCTTCCTGTAAAGGCCTCTCTGTAGGAATTAATGCACGGGCCACGTTGGTGGTGGTTTATGATCCGTGACAACTATGATTGGAACTAATGCAGACCTATGTTGCTCGGACTTTTCGAAAATGTCGCCTAGTGCGTGTCGCATCCATAAGTAGTGTATTTTTGGAGGATCCGACACGGGTGCATCGGCATTCTAGAGAGTCCGCACAACATGGATACAGACCAACTAACGCTTTCCACTAGGGGGAAAGACGGGTTTCTACTCGTAATCTCGTATAGTGTCCTTTTTCTTTTCTAGAGAGGAAGCTAAGTCTCTTTCCTACTAAGTCTTGTAAGTTAGGGGATGTCAATTGGGCAGGTAAAAACACGTTGAGACAACAATCTGCCCAATAGCTGCTTGGATCAAGATGGACTAAGTAACGGGTCATAGCCCAACTTGTTTCACTTAAAGCTATTTTTTGTGTTGTTTGTTTTTTTGCCAAAATTACATAGAAATAAGATCTTTGTAAATTTGTAACATAAATGATCATAAAAGTACCCAATAAGTTTTTTCCCGTGTTCTTAGGAAATGATTTGCTTTATTTGTTATGTCTTCCAGTTTCTCTTAATTCTGATTACTTCGAAGTGATATTTTTTCCAACTTCACTTTGATTTTTTCTTTTTTGGCATTGGGGAGGGGTGGGGGTTGAGAGCAAAACATAGTGCATTGTTGTAACGGGTCCAAAATTGATACTAAGTCACAATGCTTGTGTTTAATGTTCCAGGAGGCTGAGTTGTTCCTATTCATCAGCTGCTGACTCCTGAAGAAAAGAAGACGTTGCCCTGAAAGATATATTGTCAAAGAAATACAGGTTCGGCTCTGTAGTTATTGCCCTGAAATCTACCCTCCCCAAACCCTATTTATGTGAATACACTGGTTTTTTTTTTATGCGTATAATCAATGCATAATTTATGTATATGGCTAGAAAAAGTAAATAATGAATATAGCTGGCTATTTGTGTAAAGACACTTTCCTTTTCCTTCTGGCCCAAGTTTTGCATCGTAGTGTAGTCCACAAATGGGCTTTTAATAAAAAAAGGTAACCAAACGAGTAACCAAGTCCCTATTCCGGTTCTATTCCAACGAAACCAACTCGTCCCACAGCGACCAAAGGTAAAATCATTTGCAGTTCATATAGCGAAAGCAGAAGAAGGGAGTTCGTTCCTTCGGGGACATCCGATAAAATTGGAACGAAACAGAGGGATGACACGCACAAATCGAGAAATGGTCTAAATTTTTTTTTTTCAACTCGCCATTGTTGATCTCCATAGCTTCTTTCTGCGACCTAGGTTTTTGTTGCAACCTTCAATCTGAGGTTAGTTGCTTTCTTTCTTTATTTCCTTTTTTTTTAATTATATTGTTGTCGCTCTTTGTTTATGTAAATGTTAAAAACCTTCTTGCTTTATCAAATATCGATTAAGCTTCGGTGTACAATTTTGGACTTAGATGATTACGTCAAATGACAAAGGTTTTATCCTTTTTTCCAAAGATTATTTGTCAAGTTTTGGTAAGAGACTGTTGTGAGCATATTATTTGCTGTAATGTTTAAACAGAACAAAGTGTTATTTGGTCTTTGTTATTTTCATACTCTCAGACTAGGCTAAAACATGACATGACTAATGATGTGCTTTCATTATGAGTAGCTTAAGCAACAAAACCTCTGAAATTTAAAATCTCAAGATTTCGAGAAGTTAGGAAAAATTGTGTACACTCACCCTAGTTAATTCTCTGATGATCCCTTGATTAGCTCAAGAAGTGTTTGGGAAATATAAGTTATGTTACAAAATTTGAATGGTTTATGGTACCAGATTGCCTCTAGCCAGAAAATTAAGTTGCTGTAATGGACAAGCAGAGGCGAACCCAGGATTTAAAGGTCGCGAGTGCACTTTTAGATTCAACCAGAATCTACTTTGTATATAGGGTGTCCATTACTAATATATTTACTATTTTCTAAGAACTTATACATGTATACATAGAATTTTTGCTGAACTTTACGGGTGTTGATGACCCCTCTCGGTATAGCATAGGTCCGCCCCTGTGGACAAGGCTTTAGCTCAGCATTCTCTCCCTTGAACAGGACAAAGCTGAAAGTCTCATTAACTCCGCATATACTTCACAAATAATTTTTTTGTTTTGTCTTTTGTTGATACATGTAACCAATATTTTGCTACTTTGGACAGCATATGGAGGCCACTTAGAAGCTGCACGAAGTTATCCAGAGTTTAATACTGCTGGCTTTCAGTTGCTTTATTCTTTAAAAATCCTGTTTTGATATAGTTCTGCTGGCTACTCTCTTCTTCTAATTACTAGTAGCTCTAACATAGGTACTATTCACGATTTAATTCTGTTCGTGATTCTTCTTGATTAAATGACTATTGACTAATAAGCTGACCGAAAATTGACAATCCGAATGCCAAATATTCCTCTTCAATAAAGTTATTTTGCATCTATGTGATTTAAGGCTGCTGGCTGGAAATTTTACCCTCTCTTTTGAGATTAGTCATCATGCGTATCATCCTTAACTTGAAACACATCACTCCTATAACTGCAAAAGTTTTATCGGGTAATTGGGAAATATTTTACCGGGTGAAAAAAACAGACATAATATTTATATTGTATCGAGTAAATATTATTGACTTGACATGGAGTTAAGAAATAAAGGGAAGACTTTGCAGAAATTCGTAAGTCGGATGACCATTTGAGAAGTTCAGAAATTTAGGGGCGGCGTGGCATGTCCCTGTTATGCTTACTTTCCATGATTTAACTTCTATTCTTTCCTTTCGCTCTCTCCTCCTTTTTATCTTTTTAAGCAAATACACCCTGCATATGGTGTTACGATTGTTTTATTTTAGGGTGGACTTGGCTTTTGTGATTAGGTCCTGTATTTATTTCACTATTTTGGTCGCTTTGAACCAGTAGTATCTCTAGCTGTGGTCCAGTTCTTTTGTTGAGCACATAAGACCTTGAACTTTTTCCATTGCTTTTGCAACAGACAAGACAATCAAATCCAACAGGCTTCAGTCTGTCTTTTACTTAGTTAAATGGTTTTCCCTTTGCCCTCACTGTCGTCTTTTATCATTGTCACATTTCTTTCCCCACGTCTTGGTAGCATGCTGAAGACAAGGTTACCTGGATTTACTAATTCTGTTGCGAATCAAAGATCTGGTGGGAACACTATATTTTGGGATTTAACTTATTACCTTTTGGTTGTACAATTTAATGTCCAATTCTGTCTGTAAAGCTAACTCATATTAAGAAAAATATGACTCTAAACTATCATGTGTAGTAATTGTATTATTGTAAGAAGGTGAATTTTCTACTTAGAAATTAGTTGTTTAGTAATCAAAGTTTCTGAAAGCAAATTTGATGTATGATCTAAAGAAGCCTATCCTTAATGAAGTTAAGCTTTAGGTATAGTGGTCTGCAAAGTTGTTTCCGTGCCCAAACTTATGTGATAATTTGTATTAGGTGACCTTGGTTTGTACTTTTCTTTTTTTTGATAACTTTAAGGGGTTGCAGGCTCTAGATTCTAGGTTTTTGGCTGTATTTTGACTTTTCATTTAGTTCATCTGTTGCCTCTTCCTTTAGAGGCCTCTCTTTAGGTTAATGCACGAGCCACTGTTGATGGTGGTTTATGATCCATAACAACTATGATTGTACGTTTTAAACTAATGCAGACCAAGTGAGAGTGCGGGGCATTATGTTACCTACAGATATGTTGTCTGAGCTGGTCTAGAAGATCTTTTAAGTAGATAAGAAATTCCATTTACCATGATGGTATAATCCTAGAGTTAGTCTTTAGTTGTCAAGTAATGAATGTCTGTTCTGGTGAACTATCAGATCAACAGTACTGTGTGGTCCAGAATGTATTTATAATTAAGTTTGTGTAATATTCTCCTGGAATTCATGTAACATGCTCTTGATTATGTAAAAAGTTCTCTTGGTTCAGCATGAATGTTTTTTTTTTAATTTTATATAAAGAGCATGAATGTTCAAAATTCTCTTTTTATTAAGAAAAATGAAGATTCTTTAATTTACTTATTTATTTTGTAACCTCTTTGGTTCATTAACTACAAAAGTATTAGAAGACAATGTATATTCAATTGCATAAAGACGTGGTAAAAGGGAGATGTAATATTGTAAGCACTATAAGAGAAGATCCATGTACATGTAGTGAAAGCACAAGTAACTCTGTATAGAAAAGATTACATATTCTTATATACTAAATTTATATAAATTGGAAAGTAACTCTATCACCAAATCCTCCAGTTTACTTCATTAATTTGACCCTTAGTCCATGCTTAAAATACTAAGAACATTTATGAGGATAGAGGTGTTGACTTCTTATTAATCAAGAGTAAGGTTTAGAAAGCCCCATTGAGGTGGATAGATTTTTCATCAAGGAAAACTTAGATTAAAAAAGGTTTGAAGTTAACTAAAATTGGGTCTGAAAATCAGTTGGCTGATATTTTTGCTAAAGCATTGTCAAGCCAAGTATTCTCAAAATGCCTTATCAAGTTGGGCATGGATGATATCTATGCACCAACTTGGGGAGGAGTTTTGAGATTTTCGGCAATATTCTTTGAGATCTTCTCTCCCTAAATATTGTTTCACACAAGGGAATGTCAATAATATTAAAATACTCTCTAATTTTCAAGTCTGTTCACTGTAGCCAAGTTCTCTATGCTTGACTCTGAAAACCCGAGGATTTGTTTCTTGTGTTTTTTAATATTTCTGTCTTTCCGTCTCTCAAATTGTTCTAAAAGTATGTCAGAGCAAATCAGCTTATATCCAACGTAACAAAGAGGAACCAATACATGGATTTTTTTCATAATTTCAAATTAAGTGAAAAAATGTTGACTAACATTCCTACTACTTTTCTTATTCCCCCTCTGCCTTTGTTTACAATCCTGCTTCTCTCATAAGCTTCTGTATGACATTTCAGTGATACTCTTATTTCTGCTAACTTTTATTTGCCCCTCCATCGTTATGAGTTTGAACATACACTGGCATTTTGTCAACAGCGATATTACTTGTGCTTCATTATCATACTTCACTGGCAACTTTTCACTTCACTGGCAGCTTTTCCCAATATTAGCACTAATCAATTGCTCTTCCCGCGTTGAAATCTCACATTTCTTTTCATCCTAACAATATCTTAGCAAGAAATTTGTCTTCTAATTCCAGCCCAGTTTGCAGCTGAATTGGCATTACTTGTGTCTCTCGCCACCATCGAGTGATAGCTTGAAATATTTCTAGCATGAAACTTCATGGTACCATTCCTCCACAAATTGGAAACCTCTCATTTCTTATTTCCCTCGACATCCGCAACAATACTTTCGTTGGAGATTTACCAAAAGAGAGAGCTCATTTACAGAGGTTGAAAGTGATTTGTCACAAGCAATAACTTCATTAGTGCCATCCCATCACTTCTAAGTTTGTTACCTAACCTTCGATACATGTACCTTTCGGAAAAATCAGTTTTTTGGGGAAATACCATTTTCCTTTCCAATCTAACAAAGTTGGAAAAGTTGAGTGCACAGAGAAACTTCCATGAGGGAGATATCCCTCGAGAACTCACTCGGTGGTCTTCGTTACATGGCTATCCTACACCTGCAATACAAACGACTTATTGGCTCTATACCACCATTAATCTTTAACATTACGACAATGCAAGTCATTGCTCTTACCAGCAACAATCTTACTGGTAAGCTTCCAACAACTGTATGTGACCTTCTTCCAAACTTGGAAGCACTTGGCATCTCGTACAACTACCTAGATAGCGTTATTCCACCAAACTTAGAAAAAGTACAGAAAGCTTCAATTCTTATCATTGTCTTTCAGTGAGTTTGTTGGAACTGTACCAAGAGAGTTAGCAAACTAAACAGCTCTTACAATGTTACTTCTTGGATCTCAGCATTTGGAAGTAAGATATTTTCCCACAAGAGATATGAAATTTTCTTTCTTTTTTTATCTTCTGCCAAATTGGTACTCATATTTTTCCCAATTGACAGGAGAGATACCAATGGAGCTAATTCCTGTATCACTTGGTAGCTTAGAACACCTTGAGTTCTGAACTTGCTGGGGAATAGTTTTTTCAGTAATTCCTGAATCACTTGGTCTAGATAAATTGATTAGGCTTTCTATAGCACATAATAGGTTAGATGGGCTTATTCCTGATTCATTTGGCGAAATGAGGGCCTTGGAATTTTTGGATTTGTGTTCTAACAATTTAAGTGATGACATACCAAAGTCATTAGGAGCTCTTGTGTATCTCAAATACCTGAGCATCTCATTCAATAAACTCAGAGGAGAGATCCCCACTGGTGGTACTTTTGCAAATTTCTCAATCTTTCATGTTCAATATATGCCCAATGGACACTTGATAAATGGTTGTACTCTCACAACTTGTTACTCTTAGTATACCCGAAATAATTATTTCCCCAAGAATAGATTGTTACTCTTAGTTTTAACATATTCCTTGAAATCAAGGACCTTTTCTAATCATTTTCAACCATGATGATTACACAGAGTATGGCCAAGATGCAATGATTCCCATGAGCTCTAATGTTTATAGTTTTGGCATCTTGATGACGGAGAGGTTTAGAAGAATGAGACCAAGTGATGAAATATTTACTGGAGACTTGAGTATTACGATGTTGGGTTAGTGATTCCTTTCCAAGTGAAATTCGTGGGGTGGTGGATTCTAACTTGATACAGCTAGGGGAAGAACAAACCGAAGCAAAGATGCAGTGTCTATTATCTATCATGGAATTAGCTTTACTATTTAGTGACACCTGATGCAAGAATTAGCATTCATTGAAAATGCTCTTTTGACTCTTAAAAAAAGATTAGGCTCCAGTTTGTCAGTAGCAGTACAAGTATTTAAGTTCATTCGCTGTGACTTTGTTAAGGCGATATGGCTTCATTTTTCAGCAACTACTGGAGGGCCACTTCCATCACTTCACAATGATTCTCTGTATCACGAATTGCAGGAAGCAGCTCTTTTTTTGATTTATGTGGTTTTGGTGAATCATTTATGGAAGTAAAATGAGATTTAAAATGGGGTGAGAGAATAGAAAAATTAATGTGAAGCTGTAGGTGTAGCAATAATTATTAAAGAAACATCTGTGAAATATATGATTGTTGTGTTGCAAAACTTTCGATTAAACCTAAGCGAACAGTTATGAAATCAAATGGAAATAAATAAACAAAATAATCGCAGCTACAAGCCTACAAGAAATGATTGAAAATGCTCTTTCAACACTTCCATTTTATTCTGTTCAATATGTTGAGTTTGTTGTAATCCTATCAAAGCTTCTCAATTTCTCAAGGGATTATCTGCCATTATTTGTTCTCATAACCGTGATTTTCTTGCAGAGGCAAGCCATGAAAATGATATATGGAGCCATTGCTCGCTGGGGAACTAAAATCTTCTCAACTTGGACATAAATCCTTCTAACTATCTAAACTTCTATTGTCTGCGTAACCAAGAAGAATTACACGGGGAACCAATGCCATGCTTTCTTAATGGTGATTTGGTATCAATCTTTTCCTAATTAAGTCTGCCTGCTAAACTTTTGCTTACAAATGCTTTAAAATATTATTTTGCATTTCCACACAGAATATTCGCATTTTTGGGCAACATTCTGTATTTTCGCATAGTGTTTTGCATTTCTGAAACCGTTCATGCATTTCTGCACAGTTTTGTGTCGTGTGCTTTATTTTTGTTGTTAAGATAATAGCTAGAGCTTTACATATTTGTGTGAGAAGAAGTTTTGAAATTAGTGACAAGCAAGAGCATGTGCTGCAAGCATGCAATATAAGTACTGATTCTTTTTTGGTTGTGGGAATATCTTGGCCAGTATGCTGACCATAAAAATATCCAATTTTCTTTTCTTTTCTCTTGTCATTTTCAGATCTACTAAAAAAATATTCACCAAATCTACCACAATTGGTATAGGTCTCCCACATCGGATGGGGATGGGGCCCTTGGTCTCCGTATATGGTCTTGGGCTCCTCACCTATCGAGCTAGCTTTTCGGATTAAGTTAGGCCCAAGGTTCTTTCTTTGTCATAGTATTGGAGTCAAGCCCATACCAATTCATTGTTTGCCAATGCCATCCAATCCTGGGCATGCATTGCCGCCTGGAGGGGGGGGGGGGGGGGGGTGATATTCCCACATCGGATGGGGATAGGGCCATGATCTCCTTATATTGTCTTGGGCAATTCTCACCTCTCGAGCTAGCTTTTGGGGTTGAGTTATATACCAAATTGGTGAATTTCTTGCCTGATATTGTGACAATGTATTGTAAATGTCCAGCAGCTTTGTTTGATTTCTCAATTTTTAACGCATTGACAGATATAATGAGAGAATTTGTGAATATTTTACAAACCAAAGTAGCTGGTAAGAGTACCACAATTGTTCAAGCCATGCTTAGACAAGTTTACACTCATGCATGAATGAGGCAAGATTTGCTTCTTCTGTGTATACCCATGATTTATCATTGCTAGTTACTCTTATTCATTTAAACTTCTGCTTGTTAATAATGTGATTTAGAGTTAATGGATAAGTCAAAACATTGTTGATTGATGATTCTTTGTTCTTCTTTTTTTCTTTTTCTTTTTCCTATAGCAAGGATCAGGTTCTTCAAATTGAGAATTGAAGTGGACCAAGGATAAGGTGGTGTTTGAAGACAGAGGAGAAGACATTTTATGTACTTCTGAGTCATATTTGTATACAGTGAAGGGTATCATGATGTATTCAATACTTTATAATGTATAGACATTTTATTAGCAATGAAAAGTTATGATACAGTTCTATTTGGAAAATGCATTTGGTGTGTCTATTCCATACTTTAATCTCATTGTTATTGCATAAAAACGAGAAGTCCATGCGTTTGAAGAACATATTCAATAATCTCAATTATTCCAAGATTAATAAGAATAAAGTCACGTTGTTATTAGGAAATGCAATGGACTTACAAGATTACTCCTTTATGCACAAATCATAGTTTTGACATGAAACGCAACACCTTTGACTTTATACACAAACACAGAGCTTGAATATGTGAATAACTTCGTATAATTTGAATGTTAATAATTTCCTACGCATTTATAATTCTCTCAGCACTCTTGTAAATATTTCATGCTAATACCAAAATTATCTTAGTTCTTCAAGTTTCACTTTGTTGATGGAAGGTATAAGTAGCAAGACACACTGCTTATTTTTCTACTGAGACGCTGAAAATGTCTAAGTCTAACATATACATGTCTATAAATTCTTGCGAACTGTACTCACAAATCATTTCCTCCCTGATGGGCTCCTTTTTCTTTTAATTAGTTTTAGTTTTTTTTTTTCTAATTTCAAATGTTGAATGAAATAATTTTTTCATTTGGCCCACGAATCAGCCCAGTCTAGCCTCGGTCAAGCATCAAAGCCCGGCAAACCAACTTGTCGGGCTTATAAACCTCAATTTGAAATACTTCGACTTTTTAAAAACAGGTCCGAGTTAAATAGCAATGATCCAAAGTACCTTTTATTACACTATTTCGGAAACCCAAGGACTCAATCGTATGAATATATAAAATACACGATTTTCACTCCTAGTAGGCCGATCTAAATAAAGAGCTAGGTTGAGCCGACCAATGGTCAAGCCCATGTTGACGACTCTACTTTCTTCTACCTTGAAAACTTTAAAATTCTCCTGTACGGTGTTCTTCGCCCATCACTTTAAGAAGATGTCTATTGTTGACAATTGATCATTACTTCATAATTGCATAGATGTTTTTTTGTCAAAAACTGTTGGGTTTTGTTATTAATAACAAAAGACGTGTGAATGGAAAATGATGGGAAAAGAAATGGAGGGAAGTGAAATTTTGAATTAGTTCACTTTACTAATGCACTTTGTCCCTCATTAGAAGAAGGAAAGAAAATCTTTGTGTATATATAGTGAAGCTCATCTTTTAGCTCTTAAAGAGTTAAGAAGAAGGCAAGCCTCGCGCTGTCGTCGTCGTCGCTCGACTTCGGCTTCGGTACCAATACGTTGGTGAGTTAAGTCGTTCTATCCTGGGAGGATATATTCCAGCACCTCGGCTACTTGAGGGGAATAATTTCCTTAAGGACATACTGTGTATTCAGTGGGCTCGATTTATTCCTATATTATTTTCAGAATTTATTTTGACGTTCCAGTTCTACTAACTTTCTGTTTCTGTTTTTTCAGAAAGTTTACTGTTTTATTGATTTTACAGCAATACAGATTGGATAACAATCTTAAGGAAATTAATTTATTATATTCTATATTCTGTTTGTGAAGATTAAAACATGTGTGGTTTTTTACTCCTTCTAAATTTTACTATTCTGATTTGAAGATATAAAAACTTCATCAGGGTATTGAAATTCAGAAAACGATTTGAAGAACATAAAAACTTCATCGTTTTCTGTGAAACAGTATATAAAAACTTCGATTTTTATTTATCATACATACTATTTATTGATTACAGTATTGTTTACTGTTCTGGTTTTGCCATTAATTGAACTCTTCTGTTGTTGACAGTGAGAAATGACAATTGATAACGGAAATCCTTCTGCGATTGTTGCTGCAACGATGATAGCCTCGTCAAGCCGCACTATTGTTCCTCCGGCCGAGAAACTGGGAAAATTTTCTGGAGCCAACTTCAAAGGATGGCAGTAAAGGGTGTTCTTCTGGCTTACCACACTTGGTATGCAGAAATTCACTAGTGAAGAGCCTCCAGTGCCTGCTGCGGACATGCCGGACAATGAGAAGTTCATGATTGTTGAGGCGTGGAAGCAGGCAGATTTTTTTTGCAAAGGCTATATCTTAAGCGCTTTAGAGGATGACTTGTACAATGTGTACAGTGCGATGAATACTTCGAAAGAATTATGGGACGCACTTGAGAAGAAGTACAAGACGGAAGATGCATGCTTGAAGAAGTTCGTGGTTGCCAAGTTTCTAGACTATAAAATGATAGACAATAAAACTGTGGGAACCCAAGTTCAGGAGCTTCAACTTATTTTTCACGACCTTCTTGCTGAAGGTATGGTCGTGAATGAAGCATTTCAAGTGGCTGCAACGATTGAAAAATTGCCTCCTTTGTGGAGAGATTTCAAGAACTATCTTAAGCACAAGCGCAAAGAAATGAAGTTGGAAGATCTTGTGATACGTCCAAAGAACTGAGGAAGACAACAAAACAGCCGAGAAGAAGTCTCGTGGAAATTCAACGATCATGGGAGCTAATATCGTTGAGGAGACTGCTCCAAAAAGTAAGAAGAGGAAGAGGTCTTCTGGACAGACTAAGGAGCAGAATAAAAAGAAATTCAAGGGCAACTGCTACAATTGTGGAAGAGTTGGTCACAAAGCCCCTGATTTTCGTCTCCCAAAAAAGGATAAGAAGAAGGGACAAGCCAACATAGTGGAGAAGAATGATGACATTGATGATCTTTGTGCAATGCTTTCGGAATGCAACCTAGTTGAAAATCCGAAAGAGTGATGGATTGACTCTGGAGCCACTCGACATGTTTGTACTGTCAAAGAAGCATTTGCGACTTACACTACTGGTGGTCCCGAAGAAGAGATTTCCATGGGAAATAATGCAACAACCAAGATTGAAGGTTATGGGAAGATATTCCTGAAGATGACTTCCGGCAAGGTGTTAACGCTCAACAACGTTCTTCATGTTCCTACTATTATGAAGAATTTAGTTTCTACTTCTTTACTTGTGAAGAATGGATTCAAATGTGTATTTGTTTCTGATAAAAGTTGTTGTAAGCAAGAATGAAATGTATGTTGGAAAAGGCTACCTCACGGAGGGCCTTTTCAAACTCAATGTAATGGTTGTTGACAGTATGAATAAAATTTCAGCTTCTTCTTATTTATTGGAGTCAAATGATTTATGGCATATTCGTTTAGGACATGTCAATTATAAAACCTTGCGGAAGTTGATTAATTTAGAAGTATTGCCTAAATTCGAGTGTAATAAATCGAAATGTCAAATATGTGTTGAATCTAAGTTTGTAAAACATCCTTATAAGTCCATTGAAAGGAATTCAAATCCTTTAGACTTAATTCATACTGACATTTGCGATATGAAGTCGACACCATCTCGAGGTGGGAAAAAGTATTTTATTACTTTTATTAACGATTGTACTCGATAGTGTTACGTTTATTTTCTTAATAGTAAGGATGAAGCAATTGAAGCATTTAAGCAATACAAGAATGAAGTGGAGAATCAATTGAATAAAAAGATCAAAATGATTAGAAGTGATAGAGGCGGAGAATATGAATCTCCGTTTGCAGAAATATGTTCGGAATATGGAATTATCCATCAAAGTACTGCACCTTACACACCTCAATCCAACGAAATTGCGAAAAGGAAAAATCGGACATTAAAGGAAATGATGAATTCTTTATTAATAAGTTCCGGATTATCGCAGAGTTTGTGGGGGGGAAGCTATCCTTACACCTAACCGAATACTCAACAGAGTACCCCACAGCAAAATGCAATTTATTCCATATGAAAAATGGAAAGGAAGAAAATCCAACTTGAAATATTTCAAAGTGTGGGGGTGTCTAGCAAAGGTACAAGTTCCTTTACCTAAAAGGGTTAAAATCGGACCAAAAATAGTAGATTGCGTTTTCATTGGATATGCTACAAATAGTAAAGCATGTCAGTTTTTGGTTCATAAATCCGATAATCCCGAGATTCATGTTAATACGGTAATGGAATCAGATAATGCTGAATTCTTTGAAAGCATATATCCGTATAAAACTGAATACGAATCGTTAAGTGAAAGACCTAAACGACCTCGGGAAGAACCAAAGGAAAATACTCCAAGTATAGAAGATCCAAGGCGTAGAAAACGTCAAAGAACATCTACTTCCTTTGGACCAAATTTTGTGACATTCTTGCTTGAAAATGAGCCTAAACTTTTAAAGCAGCTACTTCATCTTCTGATTCAACATTTTGGAAAGAGGCAGTCAATAGTGAGATTCAATCAATTTTGGATAACCATACATGGGAATTGGTTGATCTTCCTCCGGGAAATAAACCTTTAGGTTCGAAATGGATCTTTAAACGAAAAATTAAAGCTGATGGCACTATTGACAAATATAAGGCAAGACTTGTTGTCAAAGGTTATAGACAAAAAGAAGGCCTTGATTACTTTGACACTTACTTGCTAGTAACAAGGATAACATCTATTAGGGTGTTAGTGGCACTAGCGGCCGTGTATGATCTTGAAATCCATCAAATGGATGTTAAAATAGCTTTCTTAAATGGAGATTTGGAGGAAGGGATTTACATGGAACAACCTGAGGGTTTTGTGGTTCCTGGTAAAGAAAAGAAAGTGTGCAAACTTGTTAAGTCGCTTTATGGATTAAACAAGCACCCAAACAATGGCATGCAAAATTTGACCAAACAATGTTGGCAAGTGGATTTAAAATCAACGAGTGTGACAAATGTGTTTACATTAAAAACACTCCAGGTCATGAAGTCATTGTTTGTTTATATGTTGATGACATGTTGATAATGAGCAAAAGTATGGCAGATATAAATGCTACAAAGCGCATGTTGGCTAGCAAATTCGACATGAAAGACTTAGGAGTTGCTGATGTGATCTTAGGAATCAGAATTCACAAGACTCCACAAGGTCTAGCATTATCACAATCTCACTACATTAAAAAGGTACTTGACAAGTTCAAGTATTTGGATTTCAAAATTGCCAAGACTCCAATTGACGGGAGTTATGCACTTCAAAAGAATGAAGGTGAAAGTGACTCACAACTGGACTATGCAAGAGTATTGGGAAGTTTG